ATGCTCCCAGTGGCGAAGTTTAATGGGTTGAACGTAACATCGCCTTTGCCAATTCAAATTGAGTTGCTTTTGGGTGGTTGGGGATGTGTATAGGCTGGACTATGGATTGATGGTTCGTTGGTTCGTGGTTGGAACGCGATGCACAACGGCTGGTGGACAGAAATCCCATTCAAAATAATTTACATGCTCAGTGGCACCCATTCCATTGTTCCCCACAGCGTCAGCTGTGATGTTTTTCGGACCAAATAAGCCGTAGCTCGCCTTTTCCCAATGTTTTGCCTTTTCGTTTCCTCCATCTTCCCTTTCAACCCGCCAAAGGTGGGACAACTGTTGCAGGGTCTATTGTGTCTTGCCGTTGTTGCTTTTCTTTTTCGCCCAGTCCGGGCAGCTCGGGCCGTTCGGGCCTAATTGGCGTAGTGGGCATCATGGGCATGAGGCCCCGAACAAGTCCATCGCCAAGTTCTCCGGGTCTCTGGAGGGCCTGAAGTTGGGCTCCCACGAGGAGGCCAAGGAGTCCTTGCGGCTCGGCTCGGTGATCGGAGATCCGAGATGTGTGCGTGTCGTCAAACTCGGGGGGGGACCGAACCCTGAGACCAACCTAAAAAGACTGCCCTGAGAAACAACCCCACATCCACATGAGGGGCTTGCTGAACAGAATAATTTTGCTTTGGGAGTTGGTAGGGATGCGTTTTTGGGGCAACCATTGCAAGAATCTGGGCACATAGTGCGGCGTCACCCAAGGTTCCTTCATTGCGCATCCTTGATTAGTCGTTTGGACTAGGATTTACCCAGGATGAAGGAGCCTCATGGGGGCTTTCGCGAGACGAAACATGCTCCTCAAGGTTCCATGCTGGTGGGAATCCCACAGAGTGAATAGGAGGCTTGCAGCAGTCAATACTCAGAACTCTAGCAATCAACCTTCCCTGCTGCGCAACATTTGATCCCCTTTGGTTGTTTTACGGGTTTGAAGTGGGCAGTATGTATCTTGCCAGGTGGGGGAGATTTGCATTCATTTGGCTTTTAACACCCAAATGACCCGTGGAGTGAATGAAGAGAGATCCACCCCCCGCCCCCTCCACCACACCCCGCCCTCCGCAGCAAGAATGAAAGCAAAGAACACCTTGCCCGCCAGCAAACCCAGCCGTGACTCCAAGGGTAGCCTGTGAACTCATGTGAAGGGCGAGAAGGTGAGACCCACCTGATTTTTTTGACAAAAAACGGAGGGGGGGGGGGACGATGGTAATTTGTCCGCGGCTACTGAGTCAGTGCCAGCTTTCGAAAGCCCCGAGAGCGAAAGCGGCGAAAGGTGCATCCACAAATGTCAGCCACAATGACAGCTAAAACCATTCAACCGACCCTACGCACCACACCCAAGCGAATGATACACCAACCCTTAAGCCAACCTAACACCCTATGAGTTAGACGACCACTCTGGAGGGGGGGGGGTGAGTCTCGAGGCTGGACTGCACGACTGGGGTATACTGTTTGGACTTGTTGCTTTTTTGTTGCCATCGTGTTGCCTTTCCACCAGCAAACAGCGATTGTGTTGCACAATTATGTCAACATATGGCTGTTATACGATGTGTATATAGATATATATTATATTAACGTGTTGTAGTTCAAACAGTGTTTGTAGAAATGGGATTCCCATGTAGAACACCCATGCCTTTTCAATATGAGTATTATATATATATATATACATATTAGTGTATGTATGTATGTATATATATACATATATGTATGTATGCGTTTATTTATAAGAATGCATACAATACCTGGACCCTCCGGCGGCAGAACTTTTTGCCGAAAGGCCTTGGTGGCAGAAATGTCCGCCGAAAAGCCCAAAAAACGCCGCCCGCGAGAAAAACCGCCGAAACGCAACATGCTGAAACCTGCTTCCGCCGATTTCCCGCCGAATTCCGCCGATTTCCCGCCGAATTCCGCCGATTTCCGGCTGCCTGTTTTTGCTCAGAACTTGATATTGAAAATTTGCTGCAAGGAAACTAAAAACGCCGCCAACAGCAAAAAGGCGCCTTTTTCCAAAAAGGCAGACACTTTTATGGGCAATTTTTGTTTGTACAGAATGGCCACCTGCTGTGCCGTAGCATGCGTGTAAACATTTATATGGCTTGTGTCCAACTAGGGGAACCCCGCATTTGTTTTTGGATGTTCAAGTCATCGTCTCCCTTTCAACTAAGCTTGAAAGCTGAACCTGAAACAACCAAGTCCCATATGATTCTAAAAAAAACGTATGCAGATACACATGTTTGTCTTACTTGCGCATACACATCCCTTCCCCAAATCGCCATCTCAAATCGGTACTCCAATGCACGGAGGTCTGCAGCGAACCTGCTACTGCGGGGCACGCAGCTGAGGAGCAAAAGGGGCATGGCCATGATCCAGCGATCGGTTTTTTTGAAGACCCGCACGACCAGAATGGGGTTGGTGATCAAACATGAAACTAAGTCGTGATCACAGACATATCATGTTGGCTATGATGTAGTTTTCGTATGGGGGTGGTGGCTACTATGGCCATCCTTGCAACAAGGGATCGACACCGTGAAGATCATCTCCCACAGGCTGTGTTTCCCGGTACCAAGTCTTTACGTGCAAGGGTGCTTTGGTTCTGGCTCCAAATTTTCAAGATCCAGGACACCGCAGGTTTGAGTCTACTTCAACATTTACCAGGGCTACATTTCGGGAACTCCGATTTTTCGCGATTCTTGAGGCGGAGGCTTTTCGGTGTGTCCGAGCTTCGACCCTGAGGAACACCAGTTGGCTCTTTGGCGTGGTGGTCTACACGGGTCCGCAAACCCGGATGGCCATGAACTCCCGGGAGATCCCATCGCGCCTCGGAGAAGAGATACGGCGTCCCGGTTGGTTTGGCATAGGTGTCGGTTGTAGGGTTGGTTTGGTGGAACATTGTGGAGGAAGGAACTTTGCAGCTGGTATCTTATACAAAGCTTCAGGCAACTGTCAATTGGTATGGATTGGCGGTTTGGGGACAACCTGTGGTTCTTCCAAAAGAGTAAACGGGAAACCACCCACCAATCCAGACCACCAACAAGAGGGAAGCTGAAAGCCTGCCGAGGAAGTTGGCGAACCTCGAGCGGGTGGTGAACCGCGGCATGCTGGTGGTCTTAGGCGCCCAGTTTGCGCTGGCGCTGCTCAGCTCGATCCTGCTCCTTGGCGCGAATCGGTTCACCGCTCGCCGGAGAACAAATGCGCCGTGGTCACAAAGCACATTCTTTTGGGGTTAGTGGGGGATGGTTATGCACCCTTTAGTAGGGAATTTTGACAACCATGAGAAGGTCTCTATTAGACATGACCATGACCCACATGAACAGTTTTGACCATGGCACAAATGAGTCTGCTTCTTCAAAAAGCTGGATTTTGACTCTCAACCCCATTTCATTTGGGATCTCTTGTAAATGTAGCTTACATTTCAAGGGTTCACTGCTCTCTAGATCAGAATGAAGCACATTGTTTTTGGTATGCTGAAGGCAGGGCCAAGCGAAGTTTGATGGTGAAGGCTTCTGAGGGCCCTTCAGCAAACCTTCCCTTGTGTCCGATGCGCAATGGAAGTTGTTTTCTTTATTAACCAGGCTCCCGCCTGCTGCCGCCGACCCTCGGCGCATTAAGGGAAAAGTCACAAGGACCGGTCCTGAAACACGTCCGCAAACCCAGGGACCACTTATAAGATCCTCTACGACCACAAACAAGGATTAACGGAAAAGTCAGAAATAGGGCAGCTAGTCCGTTAATTACCGCTTGGGCCGGCTTGCGCCCAAGTCACTTCGAGTTGGCCCGGGAGCAGTCGCCTCTCCCGGGGTCGCCCTGAAACTGGCCCTCCCGAAGTTGACCACAAACAAGGATTAACGGAAAAGTCAGAAATAGGGCAGCTAGTCCGTTAATTACCGCTTGGGCCGGCTTGCGCCCAAGTCACTTCGAGTTGGCCGGGAGCAGTCGCCTCTCCCGGGGTCGCCCTGAAACTGGCCCTCCCGAAGTTGCCCTGGACCGGTCGCCGGCAGGGACCGGGACTCTCTTGCAGAATAGATCCAGGGATCCTCTACTACCACAAGGACGTCAATAACCGCACGGGCCGGTTTGGGTGCCAGTCCGGAAACGTGTCTGGAGCGGTTTGAGGTGGCAGCGCAGCAGTTTGAATTGGGACCCAATACCAGCGGTCACACCAGGACTTGATCCCGGACCGGCTTCCCAGACCGGTCCCAGGACTGGTCCTGGGACCGGTCCCAGGACCAGTCCGAGGACCGGTCCTGGGACCAGTCCCAGGACCAAACCCCCAGTCCTGGGACTGGTCCTGGGACCGGTCCTGGGACTTGTCCCAGGACTGGTCCTGAGACCAGTCCCAGGACCAAACCCCGGTCCTGGGACTGGTCCCAGGACCGGTCCTGGGACTGGTCCCGGGACCGGTCCCGGGCCGACTTTTTGTGGGTTCGGGCGTGTCCTTCAGGGACTATCATTGATTCCAATCACTTCCAGTTGCATCCCACGCCGGTCCCCTCTGCAGGAGGCTGGGACGGGAGGCAGAGGGTCGGCGGAGTCTGACTTGGCCTTAGGCAGCCTGATTGAGCTGAGTTTATACCCCTTTAAAGTAACAAAGTAGAAGGATCACAACGGGTGCGACCACTAGCCTCATTTGTTCTCGGGGTACTGCCAGGTCGGTAGCAGGATTGCTTGTTTCACAACCAGATAGTGGGGCCCCTTGGATCATGGAAGTTAAATGTGGTTCAAAACAAAGTTTTATTTTTTATTTTTGATACCCTCTCGCCATCTAGCACGGCACTCACCAGAGGGTCCGTTTTACGAGGAATGGACTTTCACGCCGGATCACCAGGCATATTCTCTGTTAGTGGGGAGGGTATACGTTGGATGGGTGCTATGAGTCTGGGTCTTTCACGCAACCGGCAATCCATGGTGTCAAGCGGGTGATTTCGCACAGCTTCGACAAAGTCCAGGCCTGCAGGTTCCCCTGTCTGTTGCCCTATTTTGCTGGGTAAAGAACCGTGCATCCAGCATTAGCCACCCAGCAGCTGTGAGACTTTGCTGTTCGCTTGCCGGCCTTGCGTTGGAAAGCTACATGTGAACACAGTGGTTCGGACGGGTCAGTGCACAAGCCGGAAATGAAGTGCACGCCGCATCAAAGAGAACCCTCTACAGTACTATATATAGCTGGTTTCAGGGCATTGCTCTTCAGCATGTTCACGTTTAGGCAGTACACAATAGTATAAATCGTATTTATCGCGAAAGAAACCCTAAGAGCATGTCTTGCTTTCTCCAGACTCCATGCTTGCCCGCTCGGCGGATCTTTCGGGAGAAGCTTTGGTCGGTTCAATCCCTGCGATTCGGCAGGCTGGTTGCCAACGAGCCTCGGTTCAACAGCTACTGGTACCTCTTCCCGCCGGGCACAGTTACAGAGGAGGCCATCATAGTGCAGATTGTGATGAACTGGTTCAAATTCTTCATCCTCTACTCCAATCTCATGCCCATCTCCCTGTGCCTTAGATATGTTTTTGCGCGTTTTTTTTTTTTTTCCCCAGGCGGGCCGTTTTTAGCTTTTGGGTTGGGTAAAAGAGGACTCAAAAGGAATACCACCGTGTTTGCGGTCCCCCTATTTCAACACATACCCATAATCTAGAAGGCCGTAAAAAGATGATGGTCACTAGACTTGGTTGACAAAAAGGCGTCCCCTTTGCGGGACCCTGGAATTTTGTGCCTTCAAAGGAGGTTCTTCAGGTTGTTTGCTGTTTGTCCTCGCAAGAGGATATGTTTTTGTTTTTTTTTTTGTGAGGGTACCCCACCTATTTTGGTGATGTTGAAGGGAAACCAAAAGGACAACCACCACTTGTTGGGTCCCCCCAAAAAAGCACGCACACACACACCAGACCAGAATCCCAAAAGTTAGAGCGTCTTTGGAACTTTGAACCACCCGCTGAGGTTATATCCTTAGTTGCTGTCGCCAAGCGTTGTGTCGACACGAACTTGGCACCGGGTTTGTTGAACTTCAGCTTTGTTTTTTGCATGACCTGGTAAGATGTGTATACTAACTCCATGACATGAGTTTGGGTTGCATATTCAATGTGATAGGTTGGCCTACGTGCGGGTGGTTGTGTTATGATACTGAGCACCTGACTGATAGAATACTTTATTGGTGTTACCAACCACCTTGGCATGCACACCTGTGCACGTATCATGTATGTACGCATGTTGCCCTATGCAACACAGGGACACGTGAAAGGGTTCCTGACTTCTGTGACCCACGCTCCTCTCGCTGTCTCAGGTATGCGGCAATGGAGATGTGCAACTTTGCACAGGCATATTTTGTAAAGAGCGACCTGGCCATGTATGACGAAGAGCAGGACCTCTGGATATTGAGTCGCTCCCCGAACACTCTTTCATGTCCGGCATGCTCGTTCATTTAGTTCAATGGCCACCCTATCTCCCACCAACATGGCAACTAACATGTTTGTGGGAGCAAGGGAATCTGGCAACACTGGTAGGGTTCCGTGTTGATTGGTTTGGGCAACAGAAATTGTAACCTCACATGGATTTAACGGAGTCTTGCCACGAAGACAACTAGTTGGAAGGCCCTTAGTTTCGTCCCGAGGGCAACGAGGAACGGCCTAGTTAGGTGTTCTTCGCTTTCCTGGCGCCTTGTTCGCGCAGGACTGCCCGGCGTCTGTGCGGTCCACGAATCTTTGCCACGAGCTGGGCCAGATCGCCTACATCTTCTCGGACAAGACGGGGACTTTGACGCAGAACGTCATGGAGCTGAAGCGATGCCTGGCTCGTCAAGGGACGTTTGGAGTCCCAGCCAGTTTGCCAAAAGGGACCGGCTGGCAACGACCTCCAGTTTAAGCATTTGGGTCGGGCCAGCAAACAACATGCGGGGTCGTAAAACGAAGCATGGGATTCTGGGAGTATTTGTTTTTTGGAGCACAGGAACCGATCAAGCTACTTGCGTCAGACCAACGTATTTAGTTTCATTGTTTCCCCTTCAAGACAGTTCTAAGCCCCAACTTGTTTTGAACCGCCTCCGATACGCACCTTCAGGTAACCCTTAGTGGTTGGAATTGGATGTTTGGGGATTTAGAACCCCTGGTTCTTGTAAAGGGTAGCTGGGAAACCACTCCTGAACCACCAAAGCACCGATTCGGCTCCAAACCACCAATCAGAGGGAAGCTGACACCTGGTGGCGATTTTGGGAACCCCGAGTTGCACTGTTCTGGCGCCTCAGGAGTGGCCATTGCCGGAGAGGCCGGCGTGTGGGCGACAGGGTCAAGCGGCTCATCGCCGTTTTTTCAAAGCCTTTGACCGAAAGACAAAGAGTGCGTGCGTGATTTGATGACTTACTTGAACTGGCTGGCTGTGTGGAAGAGCAGTTCGCCTCTGTGAGACGGGGCGCATTCTGACTGCTTGTTTGTTACCGTGGCCTCAAATGACACGCAAACTGGTCGCAGCGTGATGTACCATGGTGCATCATGATATTTCATAAGCCCACACCCCAAGCTTGCGGAAGAAATCTGTGCCCTAGACAGACCCTTTGGAAATTCGACGGCCTTGAAGCCCTTTCAACTCCCATGGCCTTTGGCAAAGAAGCTGTCATCTTTTGAGCCAACCAAATTGCACTGAGCGGATGTTAGGCCCTTTTTCTCGAAGAAGACCGGCAAGTCATTTTGCCCACTGGACATGACTGGGCAGATTCGCCGGCTAAGCAAATCCTCCGCGTTGGCACCAAGCAGCGCGGTCCCGAGCAAGCGGATCTTGCAGCAGTCGCCCTCGGCTCTTTCGACTCGGCCGTGTTGGAGCCAATTACGCGGAAGAAGCTCTCCGTGCTTCTGGATGGAGGGCGTTTCTTTCACTCACTCGTAGGGCTCGATCCCTTTGTTGTAAGAGCCACACGGGAACTGCAACAAGCACAGATTCCCATTCTTTCCAGCAAAACCCAAATGTCTTTTGTTGGGGCCAAAAATGGTTTGTTTCCTTCTAGCTGCCCTTTGAAACCTCCCAAAAAGGGGCACCCTCAAAACAAGAGACACCTAGATGAGGGGAGTCAGCCACCTGCCCAGGTCTTTGGTCAAGTCACAGAGCAGCGAGGCTTCACGGACTGCGAAGCGGTAAATCGCTGGCGCCAGGACGGATTTAGCACCTGGGCTCGGCTTTTGACGAGCTGGGCATAAACCCCGGCTCACACATGATGGTCCCTTGAGGGTTACGAGTTTTCCTTATTTCCAGCTTGGAAGTTATGGTATTCTTCCAGGATCCGACGTTTTCTATGTGCTTTTTTTTGTTTGTGAGGCGCCTTTTTGGGGGATTGTTCCTCGAAGGAAACCGAGGCGGGAAGACAGGTCAATATGAGGTTCAGTTTCGTTCTTGGCGGACCCCAGCGGTAAAAAAAATCAACAGCGTCCTGTGAAGACTCAGGAAACACGCAGCATTCAAACTTATGTGTCGCAGAAGTTTGGACGAGGCAGATCAGGAATTCTCAAATAAGTTCGCTTCTTTTTGTATGCAAATACATATATGTATATATATACATATATATATATATGTACATGTATTGCATTGATGATCAAGTATGTCTGGAACAACAATCAATATTCATGGAGCTCTTCACTTAGGTTCGGCAAGAGCATGACATAGAGCTTATGTTGCAAGCTGTACAGCAGCGCCGCTCACGCGTCACAGCCAGTGGCGACACCATGGATAAATCTATTGACCACGGCTCTATGGGGTGAGAGGAGGGGACATTCAGCCACGGCTGATCTGGACACAAAGGGCTGGGATGGACCTGATTCGAGCGGATGGCCCATTTCCTAACCTTCAGTTGCAGACAGAACCACGTGCCCCACGCTGAGCAAGATCGGGACCAAATGGGAGACAGGGATAAGCCTCAGCACCTTCCGCGAGGATGCCCAACAAAAGATTCAGGCTCCCCTTCCTTTGCTCTGGTCGTGTTGTGTTCTTTTGTAACCACGGTACAGCAGACAGATGTTCGCTGAGGGATCCCTGCTGGGTATCAAAGTTTGAGTGGATATGGCATGAAGATGATTGAACTGCATGCAGCAGGTAAGAAGGGCGCCTCTTTTGCTGCTTGGCTTCGGTTTTCGCGGAGAAGCAAGAACGCTTGAAGCGCAGAGCGTAGACTCCGAGGACCAGGACCACCTGTTTTCCTCAGACTGACTTCAAGTGGAGAGGGCTGTGACCCAAATCATTGGCAGGTTGCAGGTTGCAGGGCCAGTTTTAGAGAGTTGTGACACAGAGGCGCTGCTGCGGGGTTTCGGTCACCAGCAATTTCGGCTGGGTTCTGCCGCAGGTTGGGTGTTGCTTAGGGTGTCGTTGTGGGGTGTTGCGAAGCACGGTGTTCAGCAAAATGTGGGATCAGCGCCGAAGCTTGTTTGTATGATGAGCTCTGTTTATGTTTGTTTGTCTTTTTGTTTGCTTGAGTTTGTGGATCAGCAAGCTTGGAAGACAACACAGGATGCGCTTTGCTGGATCCTGGATCAAACTTGCAATGTTCAGACGAATGGACCCGTCAAATTGCGAAATTGACCGACGCAAACGTTGTCTCAACTAAACTGGAGGCGCTTATCTGGGTGTATATTGTTTTTGTTTAGAAAATCCATGGGGCATAAATCCCGAATTCATTCCTCCGTTTCCCTTTCTGGCAACAGATTCAATGGGAAACCGCCCACAAAGTCATCAGCTTTTGGTGGGGAATTCGGCCAGCGGCATCTTTAAAACACACCGCGCCGTGAGGACCCTTATGGCCAGCGCAACGCGCGCCGCCTCAAGAGGGAAAGGGGGGGGTCGACGGGAAGGGTGCTGCCTCGAAACAGGTTTCTTTTGCGCATCGAACCAGCAAAAAGTCCCCCATGGCTGTGGGATCAATGGGTTTATCCCCACTTCTGTGATACAAGGGAACCTCCCCCTTTATATAATAAGAATATGGGGGGATAGTCTTTGGGAAGCCCTTCTGTTGTATCACAGACGTGGTTTCAATTTCCCACGGCCCTGAAGTCCCCAAAGTTTTGGAGACCATCAACGAATCTTCGGGTTGGTTTGGCTTCTGTGGGGCTTGGGCCGGTGAGTACCTCGGAGACCCCGCATTCCCCCGCAAAACTGCTCCAACCAACCCGTCTTTCTGGGAATTGATCCATGCCAGTGATTATTTGTTTGGCCTGGATGGCCAATCCTTCTGAAGTTTGTTAGACTGAGCAACTTGTTAGTAGTCTATTATTCATTTGGGGAGGACACTGGGAGACAACGATTCGCTTGCTGTTCATATAATTGCAACACTGCCTATTTTCTTTTACTGCCACACGTTGGATCACAATGGGGCGCTACCTGACTGAAGGGACCCTGAGTTTGTATTATCGTCCGTAGCTCATAGGACCAGAGGTTTTCAGTGGTTTCCATTCAGCACTAGCATTTCGGTCGCTGAAGACAAGCTATTTGACAGAGTTGCTGCATGTGTGCAACGCAGCCACGAATGACCATGGCATACATGACAACGAGGTCAAGTTGAGGCAAACAAGCTGAACCAACTTGTCCCGCCCTGTTGAGGACCCGAAAGGAGTGTCGTCTCGCCTTTCAAGGATATCAGGACCCACAAGATGGTCACCTTCTTGTGAACCACCCCTTGTCGCGCAGCAAAACTTTTTGTTTCACCAGGATCATTGTCCATTTCCATATTAACAGCCTGATGATTTGCTTTCAAAGACAGTTAAGCGCGGCTCACCTGAGATTGGGATGCATCCTGCTTATTTCGGGCAATCCTGTGATGCATCCTGGTTGAACAGTGCCTGCGTGCCTGAGTCTGTGTCAATCTTGCGGTCCGAAGCGCCTGTTTGGATCCCCGGCGCCAACCAGGTCGACGCCTTCTGCGAGGTCCTTTCCGTGGCCCACACGGCGCCTGGGCGGGTGGCACTCGGGCCGTAGATCCATTTGTGGGGTGTCACAGAGACCCCAGATACCACAACTCGCTGATCTCGAGCCGAGCTTGTCACCTTTCTGGTTTCCGCGTTTCGGGCTACGTACTTCTCAAATGATTTGCTTTGCGGGTACCTTGGCTTGGGCAAGTGATGTGACATCATGGAGCCAATGAGTTTCCCTCAAACATTTCAGCGGTAGTGGAGTGTAAATGGGCCCATCGTGTTGGGTGTGGGGTGTAGGCAGTTTGAGATTTTGCTTTCCGAGCAACATGATGGACAGGGCAATATGAGCGGCCTTGCCTCAGCAGTGAGTGCCTTTATCCAGGATGAAGCTTTCTTTGTTGGTTCCCCTTCACCTTTGGTTGCATGGAAGTGATATTTTATTGCACGGTGCGTCAATGAGCATGATGAAACGTCAATGTGGCCTCGTTCATTGGCGGGACATGTTGCTGAAGGGTTGTGTGGTGCGAGACGTTTGTTTGAGACCATCCTTGAAAGTTTGTGTTTGTTTCCTCAAGCTCATGGGATGTTTGAATTTGTTGAATTCTTGCCAATGAAACTCCACAGACCAAGACAGTACCTCTCCTCCCAGTTTCGGGAGCAGAGGGAAACGGCACATGTTCACATGCAGCCCAAGACCAGAGGGTAGCAGGAGGGTTTGTCGACAAGCAAAGCCAGAGATCCTGTTGGCAGAATCAACCATGGAAAGAAGAGGTCAACTGTCTACTCTGTCTATCACGACATTGAACTACCCTTGCATTCCGATGGCGCAATGCTCCCAGCTGCTATAGCCCTCGTTCATGGTAGAGTTTTACTTCTGATAGTGATTATGTTGTCATCTAACTTGATCCAAGTTTAGACGTGCTCAAGAAAGCAGGACTTGTTAGCACTCGTAGACAGATTCAATCATTCACCCATGTCTTGGGACCCTCTTTGTTCGGTGTTCGTGCCCGTCCGAAGCCGTCCAGGCGCCCTTCAAAGTGATCGCTTATGATGCCGATGTACATATATATATATATATATGTATTCATGTATATACCAAGCATGCACCTGCCAAGCATTCATGAGCCCCAAGACATGGGAGAGAAACCGCACATGAAAATGTGCGAAAGTTCATCCAGGCCCCCTCTAGACCACATCTTTGTAACGTGAAGGAACAGCACATAGCGTTGTGGAGGTGATCTTTGAAGGCTCAATATCAGGAGTGTTTGACCACTTGAAGAGTTGCCCACAGTCTCGCGGAAGATTCGCTTGGAGCGCAAACAAGCAACGCAACACAGGCTAGGTCCCCTAATAGTGGCCTTTTACCATGTTTCGGGGAGGGTTCCCCTGCTAAAAAAGACTACAGAAAAAAGGGCCTTATTCTAACCTCTCTACCGGAGGACCTAGTATGTGTTGCGATTTGAAGCCCGTTCCGGGCCTTGGCCCCACTTTTTGGCGGTTTCGGTTTCCCTCCTGGAGAAACATTCTCGCAGGTGATGATCGCCACGGACGCCAAGGGCGTCCGGAAGTTCGAGGCCGAGAGTCCGGACGAAGGCCGGAGGGACGACAGTACCCTTTCTGCCACCATGGAAGCTGCCACGAGGACACAAAACAGAACGACATTCTTTATTTATTGACTATTAATTATACATGTATTTTCTAAATCAAGAGTTATTAGTAATATTGAAACCCAGGAGATCCCCCAAGAGGTACATGCTCTTCCAAGCACTTTCAGTTGGATTTCAGAGCGGGAGGGTACCTTCTACGTTTGAGGAGTGTCCTACAGCAGCAGCAGCAACAACAACCACGACGGCGACGGCGACGGCGACGGCGACGACGACGACAACAACACAAGCAACGACACCAGCAACAGCACCACCACCACCGCCACCACTACCACCAGCTAAGAATAACAACAACATCAACATCAATATGCCGGCATACTCGGCAAAGCCAACAGAAGCAACATCAGAAGCAGTAGCAATAGCAGTCTACGCAAAGACCTCTCGGAGGCTTGGGTTTTGTGTTTGCCTGTTTGAAGTCACCCTAGCTCCTTCCTGGCGTGATCCCTTTCTGCGCATTCAGGAGCTTTAGTGGATGGAGCTCGTCAGCTGGGCTGGCCGCTTGCCTGCAAGCAGACATGTGGCCTTGGATACGTGTGGGGGCTGGACGTGCCCAGCCCGTTGCTGGACGTTTGCCGAGTAGTAGGCCATGGGGGGGAGCAAAACAAGTTGAAATGCAACCCCTTTGCAAAGCTCAGTCTCAATGCTAGGTTTCTGTCGCTGCTGTTCCTGAGGGGCCGCATGTTACCAGGGACATAGGAGTGCAATATGTTGTTGTATTTTTCTCTGGGACGTCAGAGGCCCTTGCCCCCTCTTGGAGAGTGTCTGGACAGTCATTTCTTTGCGGCACCTGCTATGCATTTCGCCCCTCACACTTCTACGGGGACCAAGTATTTCCCCAAAAAAAAGAGGCAACAGTGAATTGGGTTTCCCGTTTGATTGCTGTTCAACTAGCCAACAGTCTGCTGCTGACATCCCGAACTTCCAAAATGGCTTGGAGCGGCGGAGCCCTTGTTCCATGGGGACTGGGTGCTCCAACCTAAGAAGACATAAACCTCAAGGGTAGACATTTTGGTTAGGGTTCCTTCCCTTTTTCCCGAACCACAATTCTACCAACACTGGGGGAGGCTTGAGATATTTGTACTTGGAAAGGGGAATCCGCTTATTTTAGCAAGCTGAGCTGAGTGCGAAGCAAGCTCGGGGTTCCAGCTGATCGCTCGCCATTATTTGGCCAAACCAACTTTGGGAGTTTTCACGGGGCAGTGCTGTTTTTGAACATATTCCTTGGGGTCCAGGACACTTTCTATGGCCAAGCAAGAGGTGCCCCAGAAACTTTGTGGGCACTGGTAGCGGCCACTGTCGAACGAGCATGTGTAGGAAACGGACCATAGGAGTTGAATTACATTCAATACTCCGAACATGGCTCCATCACAGGCAGTGGGTGAGCCGCGTGCACGTACTCTTATTCCCCCAGCTTCCCCAGTCACGCCAGTCGCCCCATTTCTCGGGTCCGTCGGGGTCAGCTTGACTCGGTCAGGAGCTTCACGGACCGCAGCATGGACTCCTTGACCGTGGAGGTGGCCGGAGCTCCTCGGAGCTACAAGATCCTGGGGGTGAACGCCTTCAATTCCAAGAGGCCGGCGTGTTTTTGTGCCGGGCGGAGGATCAGAAGGGGCTTAATTTGTTTTTGCCACTTCTGTGATACAAGTCAAAATCTCCCCCTGAAAAAGAAGGGGGGTTCGTTTTTGGGAAGTCCGTTTTGGTTGTATCACAGAAGTGGATTCTATTTCCCACAGGCCTGGGCCGGCGTGTTGCTCCCTAGGGCGCCATAGAATTGGTTCCCAAACGATCATTGTTTGAGAAGCCGCCATTTGCAAGTGATCGCATCGGGGTTTAGGTTAGTGTTTTGGACCAGCTTAAAAAAGAAAAGAACAACGTGGTTGCTCGCTGTGGTTGCCGCTGTTTGAAGAAGTCATTTTGTGGCCACCTCAACCCATCTCGGATGATTCAAGGAGACGGCTCAAATTCAAGACATGTTTGGGGTGCATGTTTGTTGGTCAATAGCAGTTGCTTAATGAGGCGTGGTGCCCCTGCTAGCAAGAGGTTCCTGAGTATGCTGTTGCGAGGGCGCGGGGCGTGAGTTTAGGGGGGCAGGGTGGGTGTTGCCCCAAAAAAATTAGGACGCCCTCAGATGAACATTGCTTGGCTGCGCAGGAAGCGGATGTCCACACTGGTTCAAGGTCCAGACGGAGTACCATGGCTTTTGGTGAAGGGCGCGGACAACGTGACCTGGCCTCTTACCTTTCCCTTGATCGCCTTTGGCATACGCCACGTCACGGCTTTTTGCCGGTGTTGCAAATTCGGCTGCCTGGTCCTGTTTTTGGCATGCAGCATCAGTGCCTAGGGCAATTGTAGGAGCCTTTCGAAGAAGATGGCAAGCTGCCGTTTTTCGCCTTTTTTTCCCCCAGGTTCGGGAAAGAACTGCAGGAAGAGACCCAAACAGAACTGCCATTTGTTGTTTTGCTTGTCGTTGTCAAAAGCAAGCGCCATGAAATGTTCAACTGGCATACATGGGCCTGTCTCTTTTTAGGGAACCCCCAAAATGGTGGTGTTGCTTTGGTTTCTTTTTAAAGCCACCAAAAAGGGGTGCCCTCAAGAAGACAGGGCCACATGATGGAATTGGTCGATTGCTTTCGATGGCAAGATGCGTCATGTTGTGACTCATACTGAAAAGAAGCGACCTCCCGCATACTAGTTTTTTTTTGGAAGATCATCAACCTTCCCACGTTCTTTGTACCAGATACCAACAACACCAGATTGGCATAGGACCACAAAAGATGTCCCGTGCTACCCCCTTGATGTATGTCTTAAGATACTCCATGAGAATGTGTTCACTACGTGTTGCCAAGTCCAGATGTGTGAAAGCTAGGCGTACGATTTCAGTTGTTCAACGAGCACAGATTCAGTCATTCAGTTGAGTCATTTTCCAACATCTCTTTTCTTAGTGTTTGTAGTATTTGCAACATATTTGGCCTATTACACAAGAGTCTCTGAAGGCGCACACTGTGCACAGGGAAAAGGTTCTGTTGCCTTTGAGAAAACCGAGGGCCCCACTGAGTTACTGTCAACAACATTGTTTTAAGGGGGACCTGCCCTGTTCTCTTTGTGCCCCCATTTGCCATGCTGTGGATGGACGAATTCCATTTCGCACCAAGGAGTGATTCGATGCCCCTGTAACTACCAACGTTATGGTTTGAACCACGGTTTCCAAGTGGTGCGAAACGGATGTCGCAACCATCCACAGCGAGGGGAGCCACCATCCTGGGACGTGTTGCGAGGTGATGATCGAGAGGGCGGGCCAGGTGCCTGGCTGGGTCCATCAGTACTTGACGGAGTTCTCGAAGAACGGACTCCGGAGCCTTGGCCGCTGAGGCCGTGGCTGACACGACAAAAACCGCGCGGAGCGTTCTAGTTAGGTGGGGGCGTTGACTTCCGGAGGCTACAGATTGGTTCTTAGGCAGGCTTACTGAACCCCACCTACCTTGGTGACATTTTGCAGGTTTGTCATGTGTGAAGGGACGCGGAAAAATACGTTTGTCGAATCAGCAAGGTGCCAACGCAGCATGAGCACCAAAGCGCTTGGTTGGCTGCAACCACAGTTCTTGGCATGCAGTTTTCCTTTCTGGGTAAGTGAGTTTGTTGCTAGGCGCGAGAGCAGAAGCAAGATTGAGAAGAAAAGCAGCTGGCCTAGGCTTCTTCCCTGTTTGTTGCCCAGTTGTTTGTTTGTCACTGAAAGGCTTTTTCGGAAAATCGTTAGCAAGAAGCCGTGACTTATGCCAATGACTTTCTTGATGGTTTTGTTGACTGTAAGGGTCCCAGGTCCCTTCCGGCAATGTCAACCCCGGATTAGTCAATCTTGGTTGAATAGGGCGGCCCGTTCGAGGACCCTGGTGCTTGGGCGGCGCCGCCTGGACCCCACCGAGATGTACCAGCGGGGATCTGAGTTGCCTTTTGAGTTCAAAGGCGATTTGATGGATCAGGCTTGTGGTTGACCTATTGGTTTATCCAGCCACTTCTGTGATGCAAGAGAATCCCCTCTTATGCGGGGTGAGTCTTTGGGAGGCCCTTGTATCACAGAAGTGGATTCCAGTTCCCACCTCGCTGGGGATGGATGATCTGTTGAGTCTGTGCATTCCAGGCTCCCCGGTTTATCACCCAGTCTTTTGAACACGCTTGCCTGCTAACTGGATCATGTGTGGCTCACCTATCTGGGGCCGGGATGTACAGGTTGAACCTCAAACTAGCAAGCCTAAGCACCTCGCCGACACAAATAATAAAGCACAACACAAGGGAGCCCTACCCTCAGACACAGCAAGCCACAGACAGATACACCTAAGTACAGATATGCGCATACACACAGAGATGTAGGCACGCAGAGATATACACGCAGAGACATACACAGAGATAAATTATATCCATTATATGCATGGAGATACAAGCACAGATATACAAGCACGCAGAGACATAAACACAGACATATACGCAGAGCTAGAAGCGCACAGAGATACAAATACGAAGAGATACACAGAGACCCATGCGCACACAGAGACTCGGAGATATGCGAACACACACACACACACAGACACACAGACACACAGACACACAGACACACACCCACACCCACACCCACACCCACACCCACACCCACACGCACACGCACACGCACACGGACACGGACACGCACACGCAGACGCACACGCAAACGCACACTCAAACAAACACACAAACAAACGCACACACACACACAAAAATAAAAGAGAGACACACACAAGAAAAAAGAGACGCACACGCACACACACACACACACACTGACACAGAAACTCACATACACACATACGCGCAGAGAGGTGACAGCTGCTCTCAGTCATGAATACTAGTAAGCACATTCTGAGCGCCATGCATACTCTATAGTTCATGGAGACACGACCAGGGTTTTTGGACACGCAGACACTCTCCATCGTTCACAAAGAACCTGCCAGACATGTGGCAAATCCTCTATTGGCATGGTTGGAACCTGATATTCCACCCTTTGATGTCAATTCTGGACAGCTCTGTTGCTTTTGTGCGCGCAACTTGGAGCCCCACGGGGAAAAACGTGGCACTGCCTAGTTCAAAGTTTATGGCGAGCTCGCCTGGGCCAGGAATACAAACGGCTTACCGCGAGGCATTTAATAGTGTGTTGTCTTGTTCCGGTGATTGGATTAGACCATTTGAAGATGGTGAATCACCACGAACTAGATACCTACCCTGCCTCCTGCAAGCATAGCTTTTGTGGGAGGGTATGTGGAAGATCAGTTTCCTTTCGAAGGGACCCTCTGTCAAGTGCCATTTTTAAGTTGAGGGAGGGTAGTGGACTTTCATCGTTCAGGATTTGCATGAGGAAATTCTTTGTCTACCTGCTGTGGCGTGCCTGGTAACACTGGGAAAGGGCACCACTTGGGTGTTTTCCTTCACGGTGTTCGGGGGGGGTCAGCCAAGCATTTTTACGGGGTCTCCCATTTTAGGAAACACCGCTTGTTGCTTTTATGCCTGGGATCCACAAGTGAACTCACTCCCTGAGTTTGTGTTTGGGGGGCCAACCTGCTTGGGAACTGAGTACAGCAAGCTCCTTTCCATTCCCCTCTGGGCCCATCACTTAGGTGGGTCAAGGAGTATGAGGCCGCTCAGTGCAGCCTCGACGATCGCGACGGCAAGCTGGAGGAGACTCGACGCAATCGTGCCATTGTCAGAGCGGCCAATGCCCATTTGTGTGGTTCCTTTCTTCTTGCTGGTGCGAGAGTTGCAGGGAATGAGAATTATAAGAACCAGAACAGAAAAAAACAAGTGTACTGGTGGGTTTCCTTTAAGAGAATCCCAAAACGGTTCAAAAAAAACATCCAACTGGTGGTGTCCTTCAAACAAAACATCCAACCGGTGGTGTCCTTTCGAGAATCCGAAAACGGTTCATTCCATTTCTCGTTCCCCGATTTCGCATTGCGATCGCAAGTCTTGAGGGCGTCTCATGGCAACGATCCTATGTCTCAGGTCAGTGGACCCAAGAACCAAACCCAAGATCGCACAATTCGGGGGTGGGGTGAATCAAACGGGCGGGCTGGGTGTGAATCATGGTCAGAAACGGTAAAGGGGGGGGAATGGCTTCCTTAGTTCTTGGCGATTTTTGTGTGTTACAGAAGGGGAAGAGCAGTGTACTTTTGCTTCTCCGAATACTGCACGTGAATCAACCATGCGACAACATGAATACGGCTCCACTTAAAGTGAATGAACGTTTCCTTGTACATAGTAACGGACTTCCACTTTAAGAGTTTCTGTACATTCTGGGGTGACAACCACTGGGAAAACCCTCCTACTTCCGGGATTGGTTTCAGACAAAAGCGTGTTCTGCTGGACTATGTCGGGTTGTTCCGGATGCAATACCGTCTTTCTGTGTTCTTACGATTTGCACAAATGATAGGCACTGCGATTTCTGGTCAGGCTACGTTTAATGTAGTCCTAAAGCCACTTTGTGGCTTGAAATGGCAATGGAAGCCAAGAATGGAGTAGAAGGGGCCCACACCAGCGCCCAGCTGGCAATGGCTTCAATCCTGTAGTGACGCTTGCCATGACGATGTTTCATGAGAGCGTCTACCCACGGTCTACCCGCCGTTTGTTCCTTTCTGGTGCACCCGAAACATCCCCACTCGCCGGTCCAAGTACTCGTTGGCGCCCCAAACTTTCGGGAGGTTGCAACTAGGTCCCCCAGTGCTGCCCTCTTACCGATTCTTTTTTCGGGGAGGGTTCCCCTAAAATAGACTACAGAAGAAAGGGTACCCTTGTTCTAAGCTCTCTACTGGAGGAGCTAGTTGCCAGAGATTGATTTCGTCACCCTAACGCCTAGACAATGTTTGTGTTGAAGGGGACCCTCGCAAGATGGTGGTTGTCCTTCTGGTTTCCTGTAAGCAATCCTTGGCACGGCCAGGTATCCATAGATTCCTCCCTGGCCTTCCAAGTGCCTCAACCAGCGACTCCATTTGCTTGTATTGGAGTACGACACCAAGGAAACCGGGATTCCAGAAATCGGAGCCTGCTTCATGGATGGCGAGGGGATTCCAGTTTAGTACATACCATTGCCTATTTCTCAGGGTGAATCCCTCCGTCGACAAACATGGGTGTGGGTCAAAATTAAGCCACCAGGAATTGGACCGCAGGAACTTGAGTCCTTCCATTGACCAGGCTTCCATTTGGGTACCAAAGTCATTTTTGACCCACGGTCACATGTGTATCTATGAGTATCTGGCTATGGTTCAAATCCAATGGGATCCCATTTTGGTTGGTAGGTGAATTTACCACCCATTTTAGAACCTACACTGGGGGTACGATTTGGATTTGACCCATGGCCATGTATATATATATATATATAGGTATATTTTTGTTTTCTTCTATTTTAAGTGTGCAGATTTACCCA